TAGTAAAAATAAGTGAATCATCCTGTATCTATGTTAAAACCTACCACAAAGCAGAAATTCGTATGCCAAAATTTCAAAATATTATTCTCCGATCACTCATTCTTTTGGTAGAAGTGACTTTATGAGATCGTGAGGATGAGTAATACATTCATCATTAGATATCGCCTGCCTTCACTACTCAAGTAAAGTGCGGAGTATATGACATAATGTTGTTTAAAATAACTTTTCTCCATTATGTACAAAACATATTAAATTCGATTTATCGCAGGAATTTGTTAGACAAACATCTTTGATAGCTCTCTGAAAACTTCTACAAAAACATATCTGCTTTGAATCTATTGAAGGATCATCTTATCGATCAACGTCACTAATTGAAACAACATTGTTGACTGATCATTCTTGTGCTCATGCATGCCTCTAAAACATTATGATGCTTTGCTAAGATCATCGCTTTATTTTTTTATTAGAATCCAACATCAATGTCGAAAGTAAACTCTCCTTTTACTTAACAAGCTGACTTGAGAGAACGTATATAATTAGGAAAAAAACAGTCTATAAGGAAAAAAATACCGAATCTTGACTTATTAATTTGAAATTGTTTTAAAATGCAATTAAGTTAGAATTGAGTTAGAGTAAAAGTTAATGGGATTCCAAGGGAGTATCAATAAAAATATTGGTAAATTAAAGTTTAAAATGAAAATCATATTTGTATAAAGTGTGATCAATCAAGGAAACTTTAGATCCATAACATATTTTTTCATGTTTCAATCAAGATTTTTACGCATTATTCTTAAATACACTGTTCCATACAATATCCTTTTACTATCAAAGCGATTCCTCATGATCTCGAATAAAAATAGTTTTAACAAAGGATTATATATTAAACTAAAAATCGCTGACTTGTTTCGTTAGTTAGAAAAGTATTATAGCATGGATGTCGTTAAGTATTTTGTCAAATGAGTTTAATTACAACACGGATATCGTGCAAACTTATTGTAGCTGTAAGAAATTCAATTACTGACAATCTTGCTATAAATTTCCACTCTACTTGAACATACTTTTAATGGACCTACCATATAAGCGTATATTCGTTCGTCAGTGTGGCTTCAATCTGCTACTCACGGGTCGTCGATCTCCCATTCAGTCTTAAAATACATTACTCAATAGTTTATTTACAAGAGCGGTAAGTGCACTTAGTTACAGCTGTTCATCAACGATCATTGCGTATTTTGAATTGTGTTTTACTGTTGATATTGACGAAACCTCATCAGCAGAAATACATATACAGTAAAACTTCTGTATGTAGAGATATCTTTGTATTATGAACTATGAACGCTTTTTTCCGTCTTATCTACGCTAGAAGACTCTCGGAAGTAAACACTCACTTAAATTCACTGTACCTTTTCGATTCCGTCCAAGTAATGCCTGTATAAACGAATTGATTGGATTTTGATGACTAATATGTCTTAAGCATAGAAAATATTAGTAGAGAGTAAACAACGATATATATAGAAAATCAGTTAGAAAAATAGTCTGCCTACATGAATCGAATGATGACAATTATTTTCTTGCTAAAATAGTCAATAATCATATCACTCGAAGTGTTGAACAAAATAAAATGAACACATCAGTTCAAAAAAATTTGCAACTGATCGAGACATTGAATATATCCATAAAACTTGAATTTGTTTATGTTAAAAGGAAAATTTGGACAACATATACCGAACAGTAAATACAAAGCGAACATGGCTAATTTTTAATTTGATAGATAAACGATCAATCACAATCATATAACTCATTTTTCTGAAAAAAAACTGATCGAATTTAAAGAGTTTAAGAGAGATGTGATGCGGAACATTCGTAAAACCTTTCACTTTAAAAATAATCTGCGAAAAGGAACACATTAATATACTTGAATAATCAGGGAAATAGATGTTATAAAAAACATTGATCGACAATCAAAAGTCACATTTCTCTAAAGTGTGCACCCTCCGATGGTCCGCCAGACATTTACTCTATAAATATTGTACCATCATGAAAAACAGACCTCAAATTTGTGTTCCTTATCCTCGAATAAGTATGATCAAGTTTATTACAGGTATCTTGTCATATTCTGTTATTTGGGATGTTATATTTTCTAATCGTGAACTCTAACTTGGTTGAACAAAACGAACAGTTAAACATTTATGACTTTTAGAGTGTAGTATTTATCTCTATAGGATTGTTTCTTTAAGAAAATGGAATTAGATGTCGTTCAGATGTTTTGGTTTCCTGAGCAAATTTAGTAGCGTAACCAGCTCGGGATATAGTTGACATCACCCAAAACCATCGTTATTTCAAAAAAATATTTTTTTCTAAATTATATAATTCCAAGAAACTTCTTAGAGTTTTTAGGGTGGCGCAGCTACATATCTAGTTCTACTTACGCTACTATAAGCAAACAACATCATGTTAGCATTCACAAGTCCTTTACTGGATACGAATAGGATCTATTACGTCAAATGTCTAAGAAAGAATTATTTTAGCTCAAGGATCGAATCAATTGACAATTCCTCAAAAACTATAACTCTCACTTATTGCACTTACGATAAACCAGCCAAATCAACGTCTAGTCGTTCGTCGGCCTCCCTCTGGTCGGCCACTCACGACTAGCCGTTTCTATATGTGGTTTATTTTCTGTCTACCACCTGTCACAATAGGTTTCTGACGCACGCAAAAACTAATTCACTCTAATATATCGATAGGCAATCGAAAACTTCCAAAATTTAGATCACATTTTCTAGTTTTCATCATAGATGTCAATTTCTTTAATTATTCTCGAAACGTTACTGGATATTTGTTAATACGATCAATAATAAGAAACTAAAAAGAAAGGAGAAATGTTTAGAAATTGCTACAAACGGAGTACATTACATTGTAGCCTACGAAAGATCTTCTTCTAATTTGAATGTTATTTTACGATTGATGTCTATAAAGATTCACCAGCAGGGTTTCAAGCGATCAGTTCGCTGTTTTTTGCATATTTCTGTGTAAATGCTACCGAAAGATCTGACTTGTAGTGCGGGTGGGGTGGTGCGAGTGGGTGTGGGTGTGGATGTGGCTGCGAGTGTGAATATTTTTTTTATCGGCGCTCACCTACACTCACACCCACACCCACTTACACCCACACCCCACACCCCTACACCCACACCCACACCCACACCCTCACCCACCCACACCCACACCCACACCCACCCACACCCACACCCACACCCCACACCCCACACCCACCCACACCCACACCCACACCCACCCACACCCACACCCACACCCTAGCCACCCTACACCCGCACCCTCAGTCCAACTGAATATGGATGTACTAGTGTGGTTTAAGAAGAGACTGTCATCCACATTCGCAATACCCAAAAACAAAAAGACATATGAGACAATAAAAATGAAAGGCAGTTGTTATCAATATTAGTCGTAAATTGTGTTGAGAGAGAACGAACACCTTTGCATACTTTATTGCTTTTTTCGTCAAGTGAATAGACTATAAAAATATGCGAACTTTTATTGAGAACAAAGCAACGAACGTTTCTCGACGATCTATATAAGAAGTCAGTAATGAAAAATAGAAGCTGAACTAGCCTATGGATGAAGTATTGTGATGGCAGTAAACAAACATGTACAAATTTTTTCTCCTCAAAAGTAATCTCATTAAAGAATGTGAGTGTGAGCCACACCCACACCCGAAATGAATCCTCTAACCTTGATCATCATTCTAAAGTCACACTAAAATCAGCAGCCATACATTTACACTTTCATTCAATAGATTTAAATCTATTAATTCGATACGATGATCATTTTTTCTCAATAGAATGTCGAATGGAAGACTAAAGCTGTCTAATGTATAAATCTACTCTACCCTGCAGTGTATAGTAGAGCTAGAATGAGAAAAATCTAGGTTAATGCAGTACTGAAGTGAAAAAAAATTCTCAGGATAGGCTACAGATATGACCAAAAAACTTATCCTGTAAACTTCTATTCGAGAACTAGCATCGAAGAATAAAACCAACTAATATTTTAAATATTAATCTTACCGTTTTTGTGCATCAAAACAAAAACAAAAATAACCTAATAGAATTACTGAACATTATTCGTTGCTAACTGATGGATCACCTGAAGGATCAACAGGTCTTTCAATAGGTTGTTCTATATTGTTAGATGCACTATTTGTTTTGCTATTGTAAATATCAGATGCATCAGGAAAACGCTGATCAATTATTTCTTCCAATTTTCTTCGTTCTCTGCAGAAATAAACACAGAAAAACCTATAATTTTATGTGCTAAAGTTGATGAAGAGTCTCTTATGAAGCATCAAAATTTATTTTTATTGATCTTTAGGTTATTCTTTAAAACTCGTCATTAGACAGATTGAAAAATACATTACTGATTTCATTTTAATTCTTAATTTTCATTTCACATAAGTAAATACAAAATTATACAATGTATGACGAATTTTAGTGGACTTAAGGTCGTCTGAATTATAGTAAATTTCGGTATTTTTATTACTCATTCTAAAAAAGAAACATAACATATATAAAATTATAATTTGAAATTAGGTACTTATATATATATTTACACGTTATTGTTCTCGACTGAAAAAACAAAACTTTTGTCGATGCATTTCGCTCGATTTAAAAATATTTTTACTACTGAAAAAAATAAGCTTTTAAGTAGAAATTTTTTTATCTTGTTCTTTTTTCTTGTTTTTCATTGTTTTGTTTCTTGGTAGTGCTATTCAAGACAAAGATTTGAATACGCTTTGAAGAATAACAAATGGTCAAAGTACATGTCTTTGTGGCACTTTTATGAAACTTTAATTGTTCTTATCAAACGAAGCTAAGCAATGTAGATGTTTTTCTGAAAAAATACAAGAATTTCATAACAATTGCCATAATTGAGCTACTACATGTATGGCGTTGATAAACCAATAACACAACAAACAAATGGGTGTGCCTTTGAGTGAAGAAAGGAACTACACCCACACCCTCTATACCATAGGACTCATTGAACGACTCATATTGGAGCATACTCATAGAAGAATGTACAATGTACACAATGCTTTTATTCAGAAACAAAACACATGATTTTTAGATCTAAAGATGTTTTAGCAAATGATTGGTTGTGTTGCCTCAGTCAGATAATTCAATTCGTCTGAATTCAATCGACGTGTTGCCTCAAGTGTGCTTTTGACTTCTCCATGATACCAATTCAGCCAATTCAATTGCGCTTTAGTCAACAACTCACATATGATTAGATTGCGATCGAATGGTACAAATGTGAGTGGTTCAAAGTGAAGAAATTGAACTGTTGAATTCATATAATTGTTTGGCAACGTATAATTCTTAACAATAATAGCGGTTTCAAGACGAATGCCGAATGAGTTCGGTAAATAGAAGCCAGGTTCATCTGAAAACACCATACCATCTGTCAACGGTATGTCAAGAGAACTATAGCCCATTCCAATAAACGAGGGACCTTCGTGAATTGAAAGAAAATGACCAATACCATGTCCAGTACTATGAGCATAATCCATAAAGTTCTTATATAGAGATTGTCGAGCTAGAATATCAAGCTGTCGGCCATAGGTTCCAACGGGAAAAACGGCATCGGCCAGATCAATAGATCCTTTGAAAAAGAAAATATTGATAAATGAAAACACTATCTTCTAATGCTTACCTTGTAGAACTAGCGTGTATGCTTTCTTCTCTTCCGTAGTCGGTGTTCCAAATGTATGCGTTCGAGTGACATCCGTCGTACCATCCAGATATTGTGCACCAGCATCTAGTAGATACACTTCATCTCTGGTAATCTGAGCTGCTGTTTCAGCATTGGGCTCAAAATGAATTGTTGCAGCATGGGCACCCACTGCCGAAATAGTGGGAAAACTGATACCTTTGAAGTAAGCTTCTAGTGATTGATAATATTCCAATCGTTCTGCTGCTTGTGTTTCGTTGACTTGGCGATTGTTATTTATCTCATTTTCTAGCCATATCAAATGACGTACACGTGCTATACTATCGCGAACACCACAGTCACGCATGCCTTTTTGTTCAGTCGGATTTTTGATGGCTTTTGTACGTTCTATCGGTGAGCCTAAATGAATATCAAATAGAATATATAACAATTGCTGTGATGCTGGTGAATACCAAGTACCTGCAATGAAACGCTTATTAGCAGGAATTCTATCCAAAATTTCTTGTGATACAGATCGAGTCATCCATATCCTATTCACATCCGTATTGCTGGCTAGTTTATACAGATCGAGTAAAAATTCCTCATAAGGCTGAATGATGACGTTCCTCAACTGTGTTCTCGCATCAGACGTCAATTGAGATTCATTCATCCAGAGACGAGTCGTTTGATTGGCATGTACGAATGCGTAAGCCTATGTAGAACACATTCTCAATTGGATCAACAAAAAAGATATGTAACTGTACTTTGAAGAATGGATTGTATGGAATATCGGAGCCGCGTGCGTTGAATAGCCAAGCAACTTCATCGAGTGCTGTTACCAAAAACCCATCCGTTGATTCGACATTGATTAATCCAGCGATGATTTCCACTTTCTTCTCCCAGCTTATGCCAGCGAACATTATATCATGAACAAAAACTGGATTGCTCGAAGCCATCGATCGATCGGTTATTCGGATTTCATCGATTAATTCAGCCACTTCGACTAAGGGTACATCTCGTAGAGTTACGGCACTTTTTGTCGACGACCAATAGTCAGACGAAGTCAATTGAATAGCAACACCTACCTTATTGTATGATGATGTAGCTTTCAACTTACTGGCAATCCAGTCATCAAGTGTCAGTACGTTCGGTTCACCTTGTCGCATGAGAAGCCAGTTGGTACAATCGAGTTCATTTTCAGCTTGTGTCCAATATCGACTATCGATCCACAGTGCAGCCTGATCAAGTGTAACAACAGCAGAGCCAGCCGAGCCCAAGAATCCTGTTATCCATGCTCGCCGTGTATCATACTGTTGCGCATATTCACTTTGGTATTCATCTTCGGAAAAGATAACATATGCATACAAACTCAGACTTCTCATTCGAGCTCGTAGTTTCGATAACTTTTCTGTTGTATTGGCTTGTGATTGTTTTACAACACAACTATAGTTCGTCTGTTGACATGCTACAAATCGAAGAATACCAGCGAGAACAGCAAGACAAATCACTCGGATGCTTATCATCGTCTATTGCCTGTCTTTCACCCTGCAGTGATTGAGTGTAATGATGTGATGTGTGGTGTTAGTATTCTTTTTATTTCTATTATGACTGTTTTTTGCCGTTTCTCATGGTTCTTCGATTGACTCTTGTTGACGTCGACAAAACGAGAGAGAAGTACATGAAAACAAATATGACAATATTTTCATCCTTTATGAAGATAAAGATTATGGTCGCTATATAAAAACAGGCGAAATTGAAGCAGTCTTATCAGTTCTGACAACATAGAATTTTATTTCAGCAACACGAGATAATATATTCATTATATTTACAAAATTACAAAATATAGAAAGATCTCTCCCTACGATAAATAAATATACAAATATGTGGTATAACGGCATAAATGAACTATTTTTCTTAGTAAAGAAAAGATATATACAAAAAATTTGTTAGTGTATTTTTTTGTAATTATGATATCAAAATTTTTTGAGGTATCAAGAAAAAACCAAGAATTAGTTTTTCATCCAAAAAGTCTCGTTTTGTTTATTTAATTTTCTTCGTTTTTTAAGTAATAAAAGTTTTATTTTCATTCATTCTTGGTTATAAATAATAATAAAGATAAGCCAACAAGTCTATTTGAAAAACTTCTTGTTGAGATTCAGATAAAATAAAACAGTTGAAAATAAAAGTAACATATTCATAGAATTTATTTATTTGTCTAGATAAGGAATAATGACGTTTATAACAAAAGATTTAAGATCATAATCTACCACGTGCACATCCCGAAATGTGTTAGAAGTAATGTAAAGCGAGACATACAGTTTCATCAATAGTTTAATATTTTCAGGCGCGCATCTTTAGGGAAAGATTGGAGACTGATCCATTCCTCTCCACTCCACTGAAGAGTATAAATAGCTGGGATCAATTACTTGTGGATGAATTTTCGACTGGAGAATATTTACAGATATGCCAGAGCAAATGAGGGTGTGGGTGTAGATGTGGTTTGATTTCTTCACTTAAACGCACATCGATACCCACAGAGGAAAGATTTATTTCCAGTCAGGCTAGAAATAGATCTATGAATGTAATAAAATGCTGCATAGTCATTGGTCTTTTCAATTTCCAAATTCTACTGTAGCACATCGTTAGGACCAATGCCACGAACAAGTAATATCGAAAAATTTCATTGCCGGCTGCCGTTGTAACATTTGTCTAGTGCCGAGTTGTTTTATTGCAGCATGAAAATCAGACCGTCGGCGACAGAAAGGAATACAATTGATTCCATAGTAGATGCAGTGAAATTTTTCTGTTGAAAAGAAATCTTCTATATCATAGAGAAATATATATCCCTAACTGGTGTTCAAGTAGAGCACTAGCGTTATCATCGCAATCGTAAAGAAAAACATCGTCCACCTTGTGCTCAATGGCTTGGTTATTCGATCTTCTACTTCTGTTCAATCACCACTACTGTTGGAATATTCCGTTCTAATATTAAGATCTTCCATTTCTACTCTGCTAAGTCATCAAATGATCAATCTTCATACAGTGCATGATTTCATGAGTTAAAGTCTTATTATGAATACATACACAGATATGACGCACTTCATCCAAAATATTTCTCTATTCAGATTATGCAGCAATGCTCGCTCAATCATTCTAATTCCAGTCTGTGCAAATCTCAAAGAAGCAGGCCTTTACTCCCATGAAAAGAAAATAGCATATCCCAACTTTTCCAGTAATATTCGTCAGCTGCCGGCAGAAATTTTCTCCCATAGAAATATTGAGTTAATATTAGTGCTTTGAAAATGCGAATCATTTTGTATTAGAGTTAAAAACATAATTCAATGCTTGTAGTGTTAATGTTATGAAAATAATTTAATATTTTAGCATTGATACCAAATTATTATTAACTTAATGCCAATACTTAATACGATTATCTATGGTTTTGATTTACTCAATTTCTCCTTCTAAAGCTTATATAGGAAAACTATCGTCTCCGCTTTAAGCTTAAATGTATATACATTGATAGTTCTTCATAGAACATAATTACTTTTACCAGATATCAATGCTATTAAAAGAAAAGTTGTTTCATAGATAATGTATTTGTTTCTTTATTTTATTGTCTACTTTATTATATGATGCAGGCTTTATCGTAGTGGTGATACCAATTACTCTGGATCTATGTATTCGGGTATTGTGGGTACGGGTGCGGAGTGTGGGTTTCTACTTTAGTATTACTATTGAAAACAAAAATTAAAAAAAGGAATAAAGAGTTATTTTTTTGAGTGATAATATGATTGAAGATGTTCTAGCAACACGAAAGATTTTTATTTTTGAACAAATGTAGTTTGATTGAAAATAATCTAGTTAAAAAACGACATGAGCTAGTGCTTTGTTTCTAATATATAGCAGATTTTGGTTACAGAAGTGATGATTGCATCAAAACTAATATCATTTTCTGAATCTGCATTAAAACAATGCAATCGACTTATGTAGTTTTGAAACATTTTGTTTCATCGAAAAATTTTCCCCTCAGGCTTGTTGGACCAAAAAATCGAATTTTACTAAAAAGCGATTTTGACTATGACAAACAAGCTCTAAGATTGTAAAATGATTGTGTAACACAAATTAGAGAATGTTTAAATAATAAACACAGCGTTTTCGTGGAATTCGTATTTTGGCCCAACAATCCAGAGAGGAAAAGTTGTCGATGAAAAAAAATCTTTAAAAACTACATAAGTTGGTTGTTTTTTTTTATGCCGATTCAGAAAATGAAATTAGTTTTGATGTAATCATCACTTCTGTAATCAAAATCTGCTAAATATCAGAAACAAAAAAGCATTAATTCATATCATTTTGTAACTAGATTATTTTCAATCAAAATACATTTATCCAATGATAAAAACCTTTCTGAATACAAGTTCGATGTTGCTAGAACATCTTCAACCATACTATCATTCAAAAAAGAATAATCTTTTATTCCTTTGTTGTATCTTTATTTTTTAAAGATAAAAGATCATCCTTAGATCTTGACACTTAATTATATAAAAAAATGAGTTGTCTCTCAATTATTGATTAATTGTTTGAACTTTGATACTAAAAAAAATTTTTATTCAAGATTTCTATTTTCTAATTTAATGATTTAATTGCTTGATTTCGTATTCGAATGAAAATTCGTATTCAAATCGAAAAAAAAAATTATCGAGAAAAATTAAGTATCATTGTGAAAAATGGATCACAAAAATTAGCTTTTATTTTCTCATACAAAAATTCTTAGTTTATCTTCAATTCAAAATGTTAGCATATATTTTATACATATATTCAATCAACTCATATTTTTGTCTTTAAATCTTTAATGATAATAATTAATCAATTGAAAGAAGTTATTCTATTGGCTTAAACAACCTTGAATAAGCTATATGTCTCATTATCTTATGTTGACCTGATCGACACTACTGACAATATATAAATGTATTGTTGTTCGTGATTTGTTTGACCAATAAAATTCATGTCCGTTGTGCTTTGTCTTCTATTTTCGAAAGGTTAAAAGAGAAGACGAGAGAACGATAGACAGTCATGAATTTGTTTCGATCTATTTATTCTTCAATCGTTACATACTATTCTGTCACTGTTTATACGTATATCATTCTTATTTCTTTCTCTTTTAGTGATACTTTCAAATAACAAGTAGGCTTATTTAATTAAATGATCTCATTTTCGATTCCAATGTTTTCTAGACAAAAGTCATAAATGACATTGATTTTTTTTCTCCCATTTTTTTTAAATTGAATTTAAATTACCATTCAAAGAATTTTCCAACTTTCTATGGAAAATTTCGTCTATTATTGTTAAACTAAACAGTAAAATATTTCAGTCATAGAGATAGAACGAAATGATTTTGGGTTCAATTTTTTTCTTTTTCTTTGTTTGTATTAACGATATAGAAATCTTTGAATATATGAATAGTTTTTGTTATTGAAATTATTCATACAATCTTTTGATATGAAAAGAAAAATTCATTCGCTTCATTGATTCTTATACTAAGTTATCTAAAATTTTAGAGTTTAACTAATATATGACATCTAGATATAATAGAAGAAAACCAAATGGTCTTTACACTTAGTAATATATGAATAGACTTTTCACATATTAATATTACACAAGTTTTGTTAATATGTTTTATTCAATAATAGATAAGATATTCTAGATTAAATTGCTCTATATAGAATGAGAAAAGTCTAAGAAGTTTGTAAAAATTCATATTTATCTGAAGAAAATAAAACTGTTGGTATGTTGATCTCAATAAGAGAGTTACAGCTCTTAAGAACAAGGACTTTGTAATTTATTTTATCCTGGAAAAAAGTAAGGAAAATCTCTAGTCATACTCTAGTCAAAAACAAATCTATTTTGAGATTTTTATATGACTGGATAGTCCTCGTTGTCTAATGTTGAAAAACAAAATGAGTTATTGTCGACAATGTTAGTTATTACTATCTTTTAAACTTTTCATAAGATTTTCCGTGATGAAGAATTTTAAAAAAAAATGTAAATTAGCAAAATCCATAAGTCTTCCGACAAATGGATTCATGTTCTGTATTTATTTTCTGACCAGTATTAGTTTAATCAGGTAATTAAATTATCAGCCAAGAATCTTCTATTGTAAGAGTATGCGTTATCTCTTTCTTCTTCAGGTTCATTCTTTTCTATTATGTAACTGATACTGTCAAAGAAAAGGTTTATCGCGATTTATTAAATAAAAAAAAAGAAGAAATGCCACATGTTTTTCTACACGAACATTTTTCTTCATGTGTACAGTAAAACCTCTATTACTGAACACCCCTCCTTAATGATCAACCTGCCATACTGAACGCTCTCCGGTCCCCCCGAGCGATTTTTGCTGGTTTTGACCCCCTCCTTAATGAAATCCTCGCGATTCTGAATGTGAACACTTTTTTATGGTCCCAACTGTATAATTTTCCTCTGTAATGTGAACGTTATTGAGGGCGCCGTTAAACTTTGAATTAACACAATGTATCTCATTGGCTAGTTTTGTGATTGGCTTAGAGAGAAATAGAGAAAAAAAAATCATTTTCAATCTCGTCTATACACAATTGAATTACGTCTTGTATGTTTATATGTTAATGTTAAATTATTAAATATGTCAACTCGTCATGAACTTTGTTTAGAACAAAAAATTAACCTTATAAAAGAGAAAGAAAATGGACTTTCTCATCGACTATTAAGTGAAAAATTTCATATTTCAATTGGAGCTGTTTCAAATATGTTAAAAAGAAAATTAGAAAACACAGATGAATACAAATCGCTCAGAAATAAAAGATTAAAAGAAAATTCAAAAATGAATTTGATCAAGATATCATTACACACGTCTATAAGACGTGACATACACCTTGCAGAGATCAAATAGTATTTCATATCTGAATATTTTATGCACCTGATCCACGTACTTAAAATTTTGATAGTGAAAACTTTTTTCTCATATTATATATGGAATGTACAAATCTAATGAATAAAATCTGTTGAACAATAGGAAAAGATGAAAACATGTGATATAAATTAAAAAAACGTTTTTTTGCAAAATCCCCTCCTTTATGATCACCCCGTAATTATGAACGATTTCAGAAAGTCCCAGTGGTGTTCAGAATAGAGAGGTTTTACTGTATATATATATATAAGCCTTCATTTAATCCGCCATAGCCGAAAACATAAAGTATTTCACGATTAACATGTTTTCCCTATTATATTATTGAATAGAAACATTGTTTAATGTTCTTTTTATTTTTGTTCCACTTGTACGTCCCACATTACTTAAATATTGTACATGCTGGAAAGGTCTTATACTGAAGAAAATAATTTTAGTGACAGATGTTGCTTACATTTTGATATTTATTATATGGCTAACTCTTGAATAATCAAATATTTTGCGCTGAAATTTCTCTTATAAGTTTTCTAGACCTTAGCACATACCTGAGAATTTAAGCTAGGCTAGTTGTTCTAGGATAAAAACAGATTTTCCACAAGGAGTTGAAAGCTCAATTTTGAACATATCGGACTGTTGACAACGAGTCAAAACATAGCAAAATACGAACTGTTCTAATGAGTTGATTTATATTTATGACTTAATTAATATTGATTTCATCTTATTATTCTATTCAAGAGATTGAACTTCCTATAATTGAAATGCAACCTGAACAAGGTACCGACAAAGTGATTATAACGACTTCTCCTACTTTGCCTGTTTCGAAACAATTGTTATTGGCTACAGATCCGGAAATACGACGAACAAGAAAAATTCTTGCTGTCATATATGGCATTTGTCTTGTAAGCTTTTATTATTTTCTTTGAAATTAAATAACATGAGCAAGAAAATAATTAGATTTTTATAGTAACATCAAAATGAATCAACCAAATGTAAAAATTTTATAATATTTCGAGTTTATGTTATTTTAAACAGTCAAACACATATTGAAATATCTAAGAGTCTTTAAAAAAACGGTCAATACGATTGTTAGACCAAATTCATAAGAATCTCCATCGAATAATATTCGTATCTGAAGTATTTGTTTTTAATTCATATTATATTTTTATGTTTTAGGCTGTTTCTGTGTTTGGTTTGATTGATACGATATTTTCAAGAACTATCGAATATTGTTTAATACCAAATGGATATTATGAAGAAATTGGTGAATATGTTATTACAATTCTCTTCGCTGCTATCGGATTATTTGTCACATTTCAATATTCTGAAATAGGTTTACGAGTGGTAAGTTTTATCTCTTATTTCTTTTTTTTGTGTTCATTGTACAGTTTCAAAATCAAAATAAAACAATTTAATGATTGATTTCAAATATTTTCATATTGGGTTAAAAAAAAACATTATTCACAAAATTACCAATTTTATTCAGAAATTTTTATAAAGAAATAAAAATACAATAATGAATGACATTAAATTACATCAACAGTCGGATCTTTTAGTAATTTCTCATCTCTCTAGAGATCAGTCATGATACGACTGAGGAGGCTGCTGGTGATGTAACGTCACCCCCTTCCCAATAATCGGAATATTTTGCTTGGTTAAGAAGACAAAGGATACTATAGACATATGGATTTTTTGTTTTTTTAATCATAATAGCTTGAAAAGAAATTTTTTAACCTCCGCAAAGGTCGAACAATCGCATCACCAGTGGTAGAGATTTTTCCATATCTTATCAAATGCATATTTATGCTTCCTAAAAAGTTTCAAATGAATACTATTTGTATAGATATGTATATATGGATGAGTGTTCTGAAAGTCATTGATAAAAAAAAAATTATATATTTCTACCGCATTTTGACCAAACAGTGTAATTTTTTTCTAATCATAAAAGCAAGTTCCTAGCTTTTTGTTTATAAATTGGGAGCTTTTTGACATGCTCGAACTCTAGCATAATCTACTTCAATACAGAAGTTTGCTGTTTCTTTCAGTTACTCTCATTAGCAGTTAACGATAAAAACATAAACGTATCGAATATTTCATTTTATAGAGTTTGTTCCATTGATTATTTTCGTAAATAAATATTTTTATTTTCATTAATAATTAGGGTTGCTAGAGTTAAATCGTTGTCAAGTTCTGTCGATGTAAAGAAAAAATTATGAAGAAAAAAAACAATTGAAAGTACTTAATAGGGGTTTTCTCGTATTTCTTTTTTCCATAGGCGGATCGATGGGTTATTTCCAATGAATTGACTCTAAAATCGATATTTATTGATCAAAAAACAAATAGTTTTTTCAGAAAAGCGATCAGCGTAAAAAGATCTATAAAATGGAATATATAAAGTGTTTTAAGATACTCATGTATATTTATAATTGAGAACTCATTGAAGAAGTAAATCTTGCAAATAAATTATGTAATCAATTGAAAAAATTACAGAATATGAGGAATTCGAATGATTAGAGAAACCGAAAATCTATCGTTTATTCGATAATAATATTTTTGAGTGTTTCCACTGAACTTTTTGATGTATAGAAAAAGAAAAAACTTGGAATGCTCCTTTATCATTAAAAAAAATTAGCTCATATGATCGAGATATAGAAATTTCTTTTTAGTCAATGACTTTCAAAATACGCTGTATAGGGCAAAATCGAATCAAAATTATCCATAACAATGATTTTTGATACTTTTCATTTTCAAGATATCAATATTTGTGAAAACAGTTAAAACAATGTGTTGGATAAATATTTTTTCAATAAAATATTTTCATTGTTCAATTTTAGATTGCTTGGATATCTATTATTGAATTAGTTGGCATTGGTATTGTTATTTTAATTCTCATCTGTACTGATTTCACCGATAAACATGCAAAAAATACTATTACTAAATACTCAGTTACTAATCAACAAGACAACAGTCATGCAATTCCTAAGCGCATGGGCTCTTTCATGTGCACTATTGTACACATAATTGCTTTTGTTTTCGGGGTAACTATTTTATATTATTTGTTCCTATTTATGTTACATTTTGTTTTACTGTACAGGTAATCATTGTAAAATTAACATTCAAACTAGCCAAACTTATCGGTGCCAAGAAAACTACAGCCATTCAACAAATTCAGCGTACTGTTTAGTCAATAACTTTATCATATTGACTGCTACTGATATTCGTAGTTTCTCCTATACCATGTATTTTTCCCTACCCAGGTCGACCAATCTGATAGTAGGATCCGATAGGTTCCGTCTCGGATCCTATCGGCATCCCATCGGATTCCTACGAAATTCGGCCGGATCCTATCGGATTTTTCCGGAAAACCGGTTACGGAAATGTGACGGAATCCCTGGTATCGGCAATCCTATCGGATCCTACTGTCGATATCCGATTGGAAGCTATCGGAAAGGAACCGATCGGAAACCACTTTCGGCAGCCAACATTAACCTTAGTAACGCAATCCGATCGGTTCCCACTTTTGATAACCCATCAAATACCATATTCAAGACCATCAAAACATCTGAACACACAATAAATAATGCACAAAAATTCAAAATAACAATCTACAAAACACAAAATCATAAGGAAGCCATTCCGAAACCTGAATCAAACATCATTTTCTCCTAAGCTATCCTCCTAAAATCATCACACGTCAGTTACAGCATTTCTTCTTAAGCCAGCAAAAATAGCTCAACATTCCTGCCTAACGACACACTTTCATGAATTACAAAAGTACACGCATTTTATACTAAAAATCGCCTATCAATGAAATAATCCAACTGGCCAACAAAAATCGATGAAAGCAAAAACACACACCCAATTTCACATATACCGTCATCAAAACAGATTTCCACATGCACATTTCCAAAATCCGATAGAATCTTATAAATTACAAAATTCTCTCAATGATAATCTCCAAGAGAGATCTACAGACATACACTTTGGGTCATTGCCAGAACTCAATTTTCAAAAATCCCATAAGATGCGCTACGATAAAAACTACACCAATGAGAAGCCCGAATGCACATGTATAGGTATACATCTTCTTCCATCTCCATAACACAATTTTAAAAATCCCATCGAATCCCGTAGGATAAAAGCTTATATAAGAAATAATATCCGATTGAGATGTATACGAAACCATTTATCGCCATTTCCAGAACTCCACTTAAAAAATTCCATCGGATCCGGTAGGATAACAACTTATATAAACGACGAGTTCCAATCCACATATATGTCGGTATACATTTTTGGCCCTTTACACAACCCAATTTTCAAAATCCTGCCGGATCCGATGGGATAGAAAGTTATATGAATGCTAAGATCCAATTGAGATATGTAGGTATACATTTTTGGCCGTTTCCACAACTCAATTTTCAAAATCCTATCAAATCCTATAGGATAAAAGTTTATATCAACGATGAGCTTCGATTGAGATATGTAGCCACACACTTGTGGCAGTTTCTAGAACTGAATTTTCAAAATCCGATAGGATCCTATAGGATAGAAGATTATATCAATGCTAAGCTTAGGGGTGCAACAAATCCAAACCTTTGGGATTTGGTATACAAAGATTTGGTTTTCATCTGGATTTGGATTTGGGTTTGGATTTGGATTTGGGTTTGGATTTGGATTTGGTATGGAAGATTTGGGTTTTGTTTTAGTGCTTAGGATTTGGATTTGGTAGATAGGATTTGGGCTGAGATTTGGGTTTGGAATAGGGGTGCGAAGTTACCCTTACCACTTACCCTGGAACGGGGTGACGGTCCTACTATTCGGGGTACCTTTCGATCCTCAAGTCATATTTTTGAAAAAAAAATTTTTTTTCATCAAAATTTTGGGTGTTCCCAAAAAAATTTATTTTTTCACAAAAAGTCTATTTCTGCAAGGAAAAAAAATTTTTTTTCACCAAAATTTAGGGTGGTCCCAAAAAAATTTATTTTTTCTCAAAAAGTCTATTTCTGCATAGAAAAAAATTTTTTTTGATCAAAATTTTGGGTGGTCCCAAAAAAATTTATTTTTTCACAAAAAGGCTATTTCCACGCAGAAAAAAAATTTTTTTCAAAAGTAGGACTTGAGGACCCAAGGGTACCCCCTATAATAGGACTTGAGGACCTATGGGTGCCCTCATATAATAGCACTTGACGACCCATGGGTACCCCTATAAGATAGCCCAAAGCCAAATCCAAATCTAAAATACACAAATCCAATAACCAAATCTAAGTCTTGTACACAAATCCCAAAACCAAATACGAGTCTTGTACACAAGTCCCAAACCAAACCCAAATTCAAATCCCAAATATAGCTACAATCCTGAGTCCAAATTCAAATCCAAATTCAAATCCCAAATATAGCTACAATCCTGAGTCCAAATCCAAAGGATTTGGTCACAAATCCCAAATCCACCCAAGATTTGTTGCACCCCTAGCTAAGCTCGAATGCAGATATATAGGTATGCTTTTCTGGCCATTTCCAGAACTGAATTTTCAAAATCCGATAGGATCCTGTAG